GGCCGGCGCGGGGCCGCGTAGGAGCCGGCGGCGCAGGGCCGCTTAAGGGGCCAGCGCGGGGCCGCGTAAGGGGCAGGCGGCGGGGCCGCAGGGGAGAGGGCGACCCGAAGGGTCGCTAAAACAAAAAAAAGGGCGCGCCTCGGGGCGCGCTTCGGTGGGCCCAAAAAAAAAAAAATTCGGTCCTGGAGGGACCTAGCTCTATACCATGTGAAACTACGAGCAGAGGAAATGAATTGACTAAGTCAGAGTTGGGTACAAATACAACCCTAGCAAACTGTACCCCATATGTGCTACCCCACTATGGCCTACAAACATGCATCAGCTATAATAATCTGACATTGCATTCTAACACCTCTGCGCCATTGTCACTCGGCAAACATGCAGAGATAACACGACACGAGACGCTAGGCGACGGAGATCCGTACGAGTTCGCCGTCACTGACAAATCTGTCACGCAAATGCGCGGGCGGCTTCGCGCAACCCTTGCATGGTGGAGCTCGTGGTGCCCCAGCAGCCTCATCCTCTCCGTCATCGCTAACGGTTACTGGCTGCCATGGAGCCACAACCCACCACAACCGTTTCACGAGCGCAACCACCTCGGGGCGCACACGCATGCTGCGTTCACACGCACTGCCATTCGCGAACTTACCGAGACCGGCGCGGCGGTGGTCACCCCAGCAGCGGAGCTCACATGCATAAGCCCACTCAACGTGGTTGAGCAACGAGAAAAATGCAGGCTAATCCTCGACCTCAGAAAAGTGAACGCGCACCTGACCATCCCTAAATTCAAATACGAAGGCCTAAGCCGCGTGGCCGACCTGGCACGCATGGGAGATTGGATGTTCTCCATCGACCTCAAATCGGGATACCACCATATCGACATACACAACTCTTGCTGGAAATTCTTGGGCTTCGAATTTGAAGGGCGTACGTACGCCTTCCGTTCACTACCCTTTGGCCTCGCCACGGCACCATTTGTCTTCACGCAGCTCATCAAACAACTAGCCAGGCGCTGGCGGGAACAAGGCGTTCGAGTGATACCCTATGTGGACGACAGCCTGTTCTTATGCACGTCCAAGGCCCACGCACAAGCAACATGCCAGCATATAATTTCGGACCTCAAGATGGCGGGCTTGGTGATTAACGCGAAAAAGTCGCAGCTGCTGCCATCCCAACATCTGCGATTCTTGGGCGTCGAGTTGGACACCAAATCTGGTCAATTCTCAATTGGCACCGATCGACGGGCATCACTTCACGCACACATTCGGAACCTACTGGACGCAAGCAAAGCGCGCCGACAGGTTCCAGTCCGCCACCTGGCCAGAATCACCGGCACACTCGCGTCGATGGCCGTCGCACTCGGCGCCACGACGCGTGCATCCAGCCACGCCATGCTACAAGCAATTAACGACGCGCCATCCTGGGGAAGCAGCTTGAGCATTTCCCCCCCCGTTGCTGAAGAGTTGCAGTTCTGGCTTGAAGAGTTCGACAAATTTAATGGCGCACCATTCCACGTTCGGAATAGTTATGACGCGGTAATTCACGTGGACGCCAGCTCTCATAGTTGGGGCGCCACCCTTCTCACTTTCCCTGGTGAACTCGAAGAGGCAAGCGCAGCCATGCCAGAACCATTGCGAATGACGTCCAGCACTCGGAGGGAAATTGAAGGCGTCCTTTGGGCCCTTCGAACGTACGCGAACAAGGTTCAGCAAAAACACGTGCTCGTGAGGGTGGACAACCAAGGGGTCTTTTTCATCCTCCGCAAAGGCGGCTCTCGCACCCCCGACCTCACCACCGCTTGCAAGGACATCATCCGCACGTGCATGGAGCTCGGCACTCGATTAATTGTTGAATGGATCCCGCGCGAGCTAAACTCCCATGCAGATGAGCTGTCCAAAATGATCGACCACGACGATTACTCCTTGAAACAACCATGGTTCCGCATCCTCAATCGTCGTTGGGGTCCCCACTCAATCGACCTTTTCGCAAGCCCAAACAACTCGCAGCTGCCACGATTCTGCTCAAAGATACCACACCCGGAGGCCACTGCAATCGACGCATTCTCGATTTCATGGTCGACCGAGAATGGCTTCGCGTTCCCGCCACCCCAGTTAATCCCAGCAGTCATCCACCACGCACAACGCACCCACACCTCACTCACCCTCGTTGTCCCACATTGGCCAGGGGCAACCTGGTGGCCGCTCCTACAACCCTCCCCACCTAGCTGGGCCCCGCATATCCAAGCACAAATTCCCTTGACGCACGGCAGCCAATGTTTAGCAGTAGGCTCGCACCGCACCGCTTTCTCAGGCACAGGATTGCCTCATAGTACAATCATCGCATTACGAGTGGTCTTCAACTAACCCATCTCGTCCTCCTTCGCGCAGACATACTGCCAAAGCTACAAGTACAGCTTCTAAAGATGCTCTCACAGTCTCGTGCTGACTCAACGATCCAAACGTACGAGCCATACTGGGTCAAGTTTCGAGCCTTCTGTGCAAAGGTGGACCTCCCATTCCTCCCCGCGGCAGACATGACCCTCGCACTATACCTGGTGTACGCCATCAAACGCAAGGCCACCCTATCCATGGTACAACTCACCTGCTCAGGCGTGAGCTTCGCCCACCGCATGACTGGGAGCGCATGCCCAACGGCAGGACCATTCACCACTCAAGTACGCGACTTTGCGAAACGACACTGTCCTCGCCCCACGAGAGTGAAGGAGCCAGTCTCGCTGCAACAAGTCCGTGACATGTCGGCAGGATACCTGCGATCTGACAACCCCGGCGAATTCCAAAAGGGGCTCATCCCCATTCTCATGTACTCCGGATTCCTGCGATACTCAGACCTCGTCGCCATCGAGTGGCAAGACATCCAGTTTGACGACGAGGTCATGTGGATCCTAATTCCGTACTCCAAGACGGACCAAGCTGGAAAAGGCACATGGATACCTATCGCCGCAACACACGATCCGTTCTGCCCTGTCCGCGGCACTCAACGACTCATTCGACTCGCCGGATATGATCAGCAATCAAGGGGGCCGCTGATTCGCACCTTCGGTCATGGTTCCACCCAAGGTGGCCAATCAAGGCCACCGTCGTATCCGACAATCCGAAACTGGTGCAAAGAGGCCTTTGGGAAGATCAGACTTGGAGAACAACAGCTGGGCACTCATTCCTTTCGCAAGGGTGCAGCCACTGCCGCGGCAAACACCGGCGTGCCAGACAGAATCTTCAAACGGCTGGGCCGATGGCGTAGTGACGCAGCCAAGGAGATGTACGTCACGCCAAATGCCGAACATCTCATCAACGCCTCCCGCCAGTTGCAGGACCTGAATTATGCCCCGTCCTCAGCACAGCACGCAGAGGCACTCATCCGTCATCGGAAGCCCGGCTACCCATGTCTCAAGAACCCCAGTTGAAATGAGAACGATGCCAAATGATAAGTAAGAGAAAGCAAGCTTTCTAAATATTATAATTTTTAAACACACGAATTGTTTTTCAAAATTACGTATTTCGAAAGCGCAGCTGCTTGTAACGCATGTTTTGGCATCGTCGAAGCGCGCTAAACGCCCTTCTCCAACTACAAATCGTGGGTTGGAGCTCATTTCCCTCCACCCACGTCTCTCGTTTTCCAACGGCTCATGCAACTCTCCCACCCCCCGCCCCAACACTGACGGGCATCATCGACGCTGCTTGAACGAGAAGATCGATAGCTTGTAGCATGATAGACATCAAGTAGCATGAGGAATCGCTAGTACAATGATTGATACGCAGTATAGTAACATGTACTAGCACTTCTGCTTCCTAGCTCGAGGTGCATGTTGTAATTTGCCAGTTGAAATGAGAACGATGCCAAATGATAAGTAAGAGAAAGCAAGCTTTCTAAATCTATATGTTTGACACTTATCTTCTCAGACTTCCTAGTTCCTCGAAGTACTTTCCGCCTTTCGATCTTGCATGCTATATCATCATTGCTTGTATCCACCAATATCCACCTTGGCTTAGAAAAAAATGCTTATTTACCGGTAGCGCCGCCAAAAGAGTAGCAGTAGAAGGATTAATAGCGTATTCCTATCCTCGTATCAAGAGAACCTCATATCAAGATTGTACTTTTTGCCTGGTAAAACTAGCGATTGGTTTTGGGTTTAGGGGAATTTTCAGTGGGAGGTTGATCTGAGGTTCTCTTGATACGAGGATAGGAATACTCTCTAACCTATATCAAAGTAGAATGTACTTTAGGAGTAGCAGTAGAAGTACCGGTAGATTCTGAAACAGAATTTGTTGCCAAGAATGATATATTTCAAATTTTAGTAGTGCAACAGTTGCTTTGAACAGTACAGATTTAGACTCTACAGCGATTACCCATCATTGATTCCCAGCATTTGTTTTATGATAAGCGATGTATTCTTTACATATGATTGAACCCAGGAAAATACCGTATTCTCCCGGACATAACACCCTAGGGTATAGCTAAAAATACAGGGAAAAAATGGGGGGGGTCTCCTCATAGGAAAAAAATACATAATACCCGGGTCTTTACATATGGCATATTTTAGTGTTAGTGTTTTTTTAATTAGTCAATGTGGGTGTTTTGCTGGTCGTTTTAGCATCACTGCCTGAGGCGCGAATGTCAGTTTCGGCCTCGAACTTCATCGCCCTCACGAAAATGCCATGTGACATCTGTCTTGCCACTTGCAACGGAAGATTCACCTGCACGTGGCAACAGAGAAATAGTGGGAGAGGGCAAATCTCGGCAGATTGCCTTTGAATGTACCGCGAAATTTCATCGAGGGAGAAATTCACACGACATTCTTCCGTATTGCAGCTACTCGTTAACGACTATACTAATGAATCCGTAAGAAAAGGGGGGTGTTATAGAAAATCAGGCAAAAAGGGGGGTATAGTGGAAACGAGGTCTATCATAACACCCACCCCGCACAAGCTACCCGGGGGTGTACAATTATGGGGGGGTGTTTTGTCCGGGAGTATACGGTACTACTAAATGCCACCACCATCCACTCTCAAGCACTGAAGAGAAGGAAACCGCGAGTACAAATTTTTAGGCAGCGTCTTCAGCTTGGCGCAATTCATGAGGTCCAGCTGAATTATCGATGCGAATCTCCATATGAAACGCGGCAGACATGTTAGCTCTTTCGCGCATATCTGCAGCCTTCGGAGGTTCGGGGGGCACGACACCGTTCCGTCAACTATCCCACCATAGCTGTTGAATATGCCATTGAAGCGGAGGGTGTGCAGCGAAAGAAACTGCGAGAGGGAAGAGAGAGAAGCTCCCGAGTTGACGTACATGCCAATAACCAGCACTTGGAGCTTGGGCAGAACGGGAAGAGGGGAGGAGCGAGGAAGCGAGTCCAAATACAAGACCTGGAGGTTCGGACAGTGCAGAAGCAGCTGATGGCGAAAATTTTGCACAAGAGAACCCATTCGTGCCAGCTTACCCAGGTGTTTCTTCAGGTGTTTCCCATGCCACGTTCGCACATCCCTCACGCCCAGGAGCAGCAGATTGGGAAACAAGCATGCGCTACTGCCATCCCCAAGAGCAGAACCCCTCCCCGCACTTATGTAAACACCAGAGAGCTTAAGCACCTTGAGATTGGCCGACGCGAGGGCAGGAAGGTCCAGGCGGACAGTTTGGGGGAGGAAGGAGGGAGCGACAGCTGGCGAGGGGGTGACAGAGAGGACGGTGAGGGAGGCAGGCAGAGAGGCGCCTCTTCTCATTGCTGCTACTAGCAAGTCTCCATCCACCTCCAGCTCCGCAATCCGCCTCCTCTCACCCGCCCCAACACTCGCTTCCTCACCTGCTGCAAGGGCAGCAGGGGCAGCAGGGGCAGCAGGGACAGCATTGGCAGCAGGAGCAGCAGGAGCAGCAGCAGGAGTAGCAGCAGGAGCAGCAGGATGGGCAGGATGAGCAGCAGGGCCAATGAGCTGGTGTGCTTTCAGCACTGCCACTGTGCCTCGAGACATGCGTAGCTGCTCCAGCTGCTGGGTACTGTTCATCTGCTCGCCCCCCTGCTGTCCGCGCTGCAACAGCAGCTGCTGCTGTTGCCCCTCCTCTTGCTGCTGTTGCTCTACCCCATCGATCTCTACCCCAATCCTCCCAGCCTCGGGGTGGTTTCCACCAAGAGCCGCCATCATCAGTCCCGGTACCGGATGACCTAGCAGCTGCAGACAGGACAAATGCGGCAACCCGGACACGCCTGCCACGTAAGCGTGCCTCTGCACGCCCGGGTGGAACGCCGGGTTGCGGATGGAGAGGCAGCGAAGAGCGGTTAGTTCCCATATAGAGAGTGGGAGGTGTGCCATAAACGGGAGGGTGAGAGCGAGGGAGGTGAGAGAATCTTGAAGCCCGTAAAACGTGTTTTCATAGAGCCGTGGGACCGGATACGCTTTCGCCCAATCAGGGCCCAGATGAAGCTCCAGATGTGACAGTAACGAGAGGTGACGGAACGGGGCGGAGGAGCAGGTGACGGTGCAAGCAGGGTCTGACACGTGGAGGGTGAGGGATTGTAGAGACGGGACGGAGGGGAGGAGGGAGGGAGGGATGGTTTTGAGTGAGAGCGAGAGGTGGGAGAGACGGGTGAAGAGAGGGATGATGGTCAGAGGGAGGCGAATGGTGTTCGACGAGGGGTTGTGAAAAGGCGGGAGGTCGGGGGATGGGAAGAAGTCGAGACAAGGGAAGGAGGAGGAGGATGAGGCGGAGGAGGAAGAGGAGGAAGAGGAGGAGGAGGAGGAGGAGGTGGAGGTGAGGAGGTGGAGGGAAGTGAGGTGTGAGCATCGTTGGAGCAGCAACATGAGTCCGTGAACTGAATCTGGATGGGATTCTGGGTTTTGGCTGTTGCCACCCACACCAGCGCTCTCCGAGTCCCCAGTGTTGTCAGATGGATTCTGATTGGTGCCGGTGGTGACATGGAAGATTCGGTCTCTGTGATTGGAGGAGAGAGTGACTGTATCGGGGGGTTGGGAGCTTGTGCGTGCGACACGTAACAGGAGCTGTCGGGCCATTTTTTCCCCTTCCACCTGCCGGCCCAACTGGATGTGACAATGGCGAAGGGATGGGCAGCAACGAGCAACCAGGCCGCAGACGACATCAATATAGTTACATCCGGTGTCAGTGACCTCTCCCTGGGAGGAGTCGGCCCCGAGATGGGGCAGAAACGGGAGGTGGAGGGATGTGAGCTCTGGGAAGCTTCGCAGCATTGAAGCAACACGGTGCAGAGGCAAGGATCTGGTACTCGGAGTTGTATCGAGTCGAAGCACATCTTGTAGCGAGGATAGCACCAGGGAGCGTGAAGCTAACGAGCCCAATCTGTCGCCAGACGGGGCCAGTGAAGGCAGAGATGCTGATGCTTCGTTATGAGCAGCCGCAGCATCCAACGAGTTGTCGGCTCTAGCTGGCTCGAACGATGAAAGCGACGTTTGAAGCTCGTCCAAGCAGCATCTCGCGTCCTGGCCATCCAGGGGCGAATTAAATCCTCCCTCTGTCGCAGCAGAACCGGTGAAATCCAGCCGATTCGCTGAATCTGGACCAACGTTCCGGCGGAAAGGGAGCCGACTGAATATCGACTGACGGAACAGAGACTGTCTGAGCAACGGCTCCCATTCCAGCGAAAGCGGGTTCAGCGCGAGTGACACGTGGCAGACGGACGGGCGAACCACATCCCTGTAGCAGCGCCACCACGAGCGACACGTGGCGCCTGCTCGTGCCACGTGCGCGGCGTTCGCTAGAAGGCAGAGGATTCGCGCGATGCAGTCAGTCGGAAGGGCCTGAGCTCCGGACGCTTGCTGAACTTGAGTGTCACTCGCCGCCGCCGGCGATCGCTCAGAAGGTGTGTTTTGAGTCGAGACACAGCGCGCGACGCCGCAGTCGGTCGGAATGGCCTGAGCGCCGGTCGCGGGGGCCTGAAAAGCAGTCGCAACCGGAGATTGCTCTTCCCGCATCCCGGCGTGAGGTCGAAGCGGCGGTTGCGCTCCCTCCATTACACCGTCAGGGTTTGTTGACAGTGGCGGTCGCTCTCCCTCCATTATACCGTTAGGGCTTGACAGGAACAGTGAAAGTTGCACTGATGATGAAAACGCGAAGGTTTCAGTCGCGGCCATCTCTCTGCGTGCCGTAGAAGAACCACACGGTATGCTACTCAGTGATAGCGCTGGCGCACAAGCGGTGGCGCTACAGCGCTAGCGGTGGCGCTGAGTGATACCAAGCTCACATAGCAATGGTTGATAAGCTCCGCGCTTCTGATACGCACACAATCGAAGAAGGTCGTCATCTCGGAATGCGTTGAATAAAGACCTCGGGAGACGATGCACTGATCTAGCTCGCAGAAGCTACTATCTCGTTCAAGATAGCATTCTTGGAAAACGGATGATCCAGGAAAATGACGGCAGGACGACGGACAGAATGACGGAGAGAATGAGGGTCCGAATGAGCGACAGAGGCTCGCAAAATGACATGAATCCAAGAAAACTGTCGTGTTTGAATGACTTGTTATGAGACGTGAGTCGTGCTGTGAGTCAGTCGTGAGTCGTGACGGATGCGGAAATACCAAGGTTCAATGATCCAGTTCCGCCCTCCCGACGGAAACTCTATGGCCGCAGAGCGCTTCGGGGAATGAGAGTGATGATTGCTATACCTGACCTGAATACATCGCCTAAAACCCGTATCCAATCGCAGTGAATCGCTTTATAGCCAGGTGAGGGGTGATTTTGGTAGTGATGAGATAGCCGAATGTTTCTCTGTTTACACGTCAGCAGTCGCCTTGAAAGAGTTTCCAGTGCGGTTTGCTATGGTTTTATCACATTGGGTATGGTGTCAGGAGGCTCGGTTCTTGGAGCCCCTTCAGTACGACGTCATTTGTGACACCTGAACCTACGAGGTCTTGTGGGCAATTGGTGGGGGGAGAGGTACCCCTGTTCAGAAGGTTCAAAGTGGGGGCACCTCTAGTGACGCGTTCATGGGTCGAGAGTCGAGACTCGAGATATGTTTAAGCGTCTCCATAATCAGACTCGTTAGTGTTGGCTCCATCAGGTGATGTGCTTTGCGTAGGCCTTACAAGAAAGCACTCTCTCCCTGTATGATTTGTCCAATCGTGTGAAATTTCTTACTATGATACTTGCTCCTCCCAATTTTCAAAAATATTGGCCCTACATGCTTTATATCCTCTAACTGTAAAGCTCACTCACGTCTGTAATAAAGTGGTGGTCCAACACCTTGGGGTTGGTATATAGCATGTGCCCAATGTTGGGCTCGTACACTATCTCCCTTTTCCACCCAACACTTGAATGACTACATGTTGGTGCGATAATCATTCAGCTAGTTTAGGGGTAAGGACCCAGCAAATTTACACCTCGGGGGTCATTGCCTCGGCCTTGGTTCTGATGTCAGAGAAAAGAACAGAAGACAGGTATCGCTCTCCGAAGCTGGGCAGAACCACCTGGCAAGGGAAGGAATGGATGCAGGTAAGGAACGCCTCAGAATCCCCAAAATCAAAATGTGGCATTGAAGGCAAATGTGGCTTTCAAAATCAAGCACGAGAAATTATACAACTCTAAAAAAGCACCTCTATGTTTTGTCAGACAAGATGGCACATTTCCGAGCATGCTCATTGCAAACACTCACCACGACAAGCTTGCCGGCATTCTCAGGTCTCTTGGCAACTTCAATGGCTGCCACCACTGCTGCACCAGAGGAAATGCCCGTCTGCAACACGTGAAGAAGATACACATTCCATGCATGCACGGAACAAACACTCTCAGCAATCAGCAAATGCTCCCAGATACCGGTAGGTGCCAAGGCTGCAAATGTCATGGCACAAGGGAAACAGCTCAAATGCAGCAACTGTTGTGAGAGCGGCAAACTATAAACAATGAAACAACCAAGAACAGTGACATGTAATCCAGTAACATGCAGAAAAAAAAGCGCCCCGATAAACATGGACACAAGCAACCACTCAAGCACCACCACCACCCGGCACCAACCAGCACCCACCACCCAGCACCACCGCCCAGCACCACCCAGAACCGCCCAGCACCACCCACCACCCGGCACCACCGACCAGCACCACCCAGCACCGCCCAGCCACCACCCAGCATCACCGCCCAGCCCCTACTAGCAGCCCTTCCTTCACAGCAAGCTGCTTGGCCATCTCCACTGAGTCATCGCTGCTGACCTACACACGGAGAGGTTAAGAGGGGTGCAGAACGTTGAGGGGCGGGGATGGGGGATGGGGAAGGGGAGGTGGGGAGTACACTGCTTGGTTATCTCCACTGAGGAATCAGTGCTGACCTGCAGATAGAGGTGTTGACAGGGGTTCAGATGTACCAAAGCGATTTAAATCCCTGCTTAGGGAGAGCGTGGTTAAATTGTTCATGTGACCTCACCTCTTAAAGCCAAGAATTTTCTGCATCTTGCTTTAGCCAATACTTCATCGCAGTTCAGCTCAGAATCCAGTTAGCGATTTAATATGACATTTAAGTGAGCCGACTGAAAGCCCCAGCCTCGCCTCCTCCTTACCTGAATGACTTTCGTCTGGAAAAGATCACATCCAAAACCCTCAGAATGAAGCCCGCTCCAATGCGTTTTGAGGCGTCCAATGCCCTGGATCTTGTGGGGACCTGTGCAGGAGCGCAGCAAGAGGGGGAAGGGAAGGTATTGACAGAGAGGTGATGTAAGTTCTGAGTGACGACTGATTCAATACATAGAGCGCCTGTACATAGAGCACCTGGCAGCATGAAGCCTCACAACACGCACACATGGATGGATGGAGCCCGTATTGTCTTCCCCACACAATCTCCTTTAATGAACAAGCTGAATTCTAGCTTTATGTCTTGCTATGTCAAAAGCAGCAAGGACACATGGAGCTGTAACCAAAGTACTGACACCTTCAGCAAGGGTAGCTTCAAAAAGTTGGGCAATGCCTTTCAAACGCCCAAACGGCTTAACAGTATGTTTTCTTTTTTTTTTTTTTTCGCTGTATGTAACCTACTACAGCCAATATAGGCTCACCTGGCTTTCCGCCTGAGAAAGCAGCGCTCTCCTTGGGCTCACTGAAAAGTTGACTCAGAACTCGTCTCCTTATCAATTGTTTCTTACAGCCAGTAGGGTCTCACCTGGCTTTCTTCCTAAGAGAACCCGTTCTCCTTGGGCTGACTTCTAACTCAACGCAGAAGTCGTCTGTTGATAATTATGACAGCCATTACAGTCTCACCCGGCTTTCCACCTGAGATACCAGCGCTCTCCTTGGGCTCCACTCCAATCAGCTGTGCAAGAGACGGGGCAGGGAGCATGGGCAGGGAGCAAGGGCAATGGAAGAGAGACGGGATCAGCATGGTAAGTGAAATCACATTTGTCATGTCAAATAGAATCATGACATACTTTTGGTGGGTACAATTACATTTGTCATAATTCCGCTATCATTTGAAGCCTTTTGGTGCATGAAAGAAAGAACTTGGGTGGCAAGGGCAGGAGTGTGGAAACGATGAAAGAGTCCGACGTGCCAGATTCCCCACCTCGCAATTCCTCAAGATCAACATGGGTAGGTTCGTTGTGCCAACCACCCACTCTCTGCCATGACAACACGTCCATCCCATCTTGATGTTGGGGTTCTGGCAGCGCAGGTAGCACCCCGTGCTTGTCTTTACGAACATTTCAAAAGTCTTTTGAGACGTCTCAAAAGCAGGTACCACCCCGTGCCCGTGCCGGTCCCCCCCGTGTCAATGACACTCCCACCCATGCCAATGCTAGTGCTGCCTGCCCGTGCTGATGCACCAGCCATACCAGCTTGATAGACTGATAGCCACCCAATTACCCCCCCCTACTACCCTTTTATCTCACCTAGATGCTTGGGTTCTGGTTGCGCAGGTACCGCCCCGTGCCCATGACAGTGCTGCCTGTGCTTATACCTTGATAAGCTGATAGCTCAATCCCCCCCATGACTACCCATCCGTTGAGGTCTGGCTGCGCAGGTACCGCCATGTGTCGTGCCTATGATGGTCCGCCCCCATGCCCACAACAGCCCCACCCATACTGATGCGCCATTCTACCTTCATATTCCACCCAGACCCCGCCGAAACCACCCATCCATCTCACCTTAACATTGGGTACCGCCCCGTGCTCGTGACAGTGCCACCCGTGATGATGCGCCAACCACATTACCTTGATAGGCTGTTAGCCTGTGAGCCACCCAATCCCCACCATGACCACTCATCCGTCCATCTCACCTTGGCGTTGGGGTTCTGGTTGTGCATGTACCGCCCCGTGCCCGTGACAGTGCCACCGGTGCCAATGCCAGAGACGAGGAAGTCCACTGTGCCGCGCGTGTCCTCACAGATCTCAGGCCAGTCGTCTCAAACTGCACCTACGACCAAATGAGCCACATGGGTCACGAGGGAGGAGAAGACGCATTGAGAATCCCCAATCAAGTGCCAATGCCAGAGACGAGGAAGCCGACAGTGCCACGCGTGTCCTCCCAGATCTCTGGCACGTGTAAAAAGAGTATTTTTGAGACGTCTCAAAAATACTCTTTTTACACGTGGCTTCTCTATCTCTGGTTCCTGTAGATTTATGCTAGCGTGGAACCTTCTCGCTTACGTCGAAGACTGATTCAATCGAGGCTCCAACCTGTCGCAATTTCACACTTTTTCGCACAACGAAGTGGTGTTACCACTGTTCTGACTTTTCGATCCTGGTTACCAACCCTCTTGAAGACCTTCTTTGGTTCCGAAGGACTGGATAAGAGTTTCTGGCTCACCTCGAGATTTCACGCCATTTCCGCCTCGTCATTGCATACATCTGCCTGGTTAGCTCAGCTTTAGCGTAGAGTACTTTAGTCAGTTTGCTCAGATCAGATCCTTAGCTTCAAGCTTGTTTGTACTGATGAAGGTTCGAAAGAACCGAAACTAGTTTACTCAAGTGCTGAATTTAAGTTGAAGATTTTGTTCAATCAGGCTCCCTAAGACGCTTTACCTCACAAGCTTTCCAGGCTTTATCATTCTTTCATTTCATGGAGTTTGCTTCGTCGTCCTAAGAAACAGTTTAAGTTGATGGACATAAGACCTCCGCAGCCCAAATGTCTATTCCTGGCAGCACCAGATTTCTGGCCCAGTCGTCTCAAAGTGCACCTATGGCCAACCGAGTCAAACGTTATGAGGGAGGGTGAAGTGATGGGAACAGTGGAGAGGGGAGGGAAGACAAGGAGAAGTGGAGAGGGGTTCTCCCTCCCCTCCCACCCTCACCTGCTCCTCCGTGTCTTCCCTGTGTCGAGGGGCGGCAGCGCGCCGCTCCTCACTCCTCCTTGTTTCCCCTGACGACTGCTCCCCTACAGACCCTCTACAAGGATGTGTGGGGCCCAGCCCGCGTTCGTGGACAGGACCGCGAGCGATACTGTTTGCTGGTCGTTGACGACTACACGCGTTACACCACGGTCTTCCCCTTGCGCCGCAAGGGGGAAGTCCCTGATGTTTTGATCCCTTGGATCCGCGCTGCCCGTCTCCAGCTCCGCGAGTGGTTCGGGACGGACTTTCCCATCCTGCGTCTGCACTCTAACAGAGGTGGTGAGTTGGCCTCTGACTTTCTGCGGAACTTTTGTCATGGGGAGGGCATTCGCCAGACGTTCACACTCCCGGCCTCACCGCAACAGAATGGGATTGCTGAGCGCCGCATTGGCTTAGTCATGAAGGTCGCTCGTACCTCCATGGTCCATGCGGCTGCCCCCCATTTTGTGTGGCCGTTTGCGGTCCGTTACGCTGCGCATCAGCTCAACCTCTGGCCCCGTGTCTCCTTGCCGGAGACCTCGTCCACACTGCGTTGGACGGGGAAGGTTGGCGATGCGTCAGTGTTTCAGGTCTGGGGTTCTCATGCCTTTGTCCGCGATACTACTGCGGACAAGCTCTCCGCCCGTGCTATTCCCTACGTCTTCCTTGGTTTTGTCCCTGACGAGCCTGGCTAGTAGTTTTACCACCCCACCTAGCGCCGTGTCCTGCCCTCTCAGGACATCACGTTCGACGAGTCGGTTCCCTTTTACCGTCTCTTCCCCTGCCGCATTGCCTCTCTTCCCCCCGCCGCCGCTCTTCCTTGCCCCAGGTCATACTCCGATAGACCCCCTCCCCCCTTAGGGTCCTGCTCCCTCAGGTGTGTCCCAGGTAGACGTTGTCGAGCCTGTCGAGGTAGCGGTTGACTCTAGTGGTGCTGCTGGGGGTGCAAAGCCTGAGCGTGCGGAGCCTAGGGGTGCTCAGCTTGAGCGTGCGGAGCCTAGGGGTGCTGAGCCTGAGCGTGTGGAGTCTGGGGGTGCTGAGCGTGGGGTTGCTGAGTCTGGGGGTGCTGAGCCTGGAGGTGCTGAGCCTGAGGGTGCTGAGCCTGTGGTTGCTGAGACTGGTGGAGCTTAGTCTGCTGGAGTTCGTGTAGATGCCTTGTCTCAGCGGGAGCCTCTCTCTCCACTGCAGTTGCGCGAGTGGTTTGCTCGTCGCTTGAGACTCCAGCGAGGTGCTGCTGGAGCTGGAGCTGCTGGAGGTCCTGCTGGTGCGGGTGCTGCTGGAGCTGGAGCTGCTGGAGGTACTACTGGTGTCGGAGCTGCTGGAGGAGCTGGAGTTGCTGGAGCTGGAGGTGCTGCCGGAGCTGGAGCTGCTAGAGGTACTGCTCGTGCTGGTGCTGCTAGAGGTGCTAGAGCCGCTGGTCCCGGAGGTGCTCACACTAGAGGTACTGGAGCAGCTGGGGCTGGTGGTGCTAGTGGAGTTGGAGCTGGAGGCGCTAGTGTTGTTGCTACTGGAGGTGCTACTAGAGCTGGAGCTACTGGAGGTGCTGGAGCTGGTGGTGCTGCGGGAGTTGGAGCTGGAGACCCTAGAGCTGGGGGTATTGGTGCTGTCTCTGCTGAATCTGGAGGCGCTGCGCGGCTACGGCCGTACTTCGTTCCACTTCTTCAGCAGGTTCTTGGCCTCCCACCTTCTACTGGTCCCACTCTGCCCTTACTGTGTCCACAGCCTGCCCAGTCGCAATCGCTGCTACAGCCAACCTCTCCACTGCCTAGTCTTTCTCCTTAAGGGCCGACTAGAGGTCTTACGGAGCGTCGTGAGCCTGAGTCTCGTCCTACGTCGCCCGTTCGCGCTGTTCGCACTGGTGGTCGTGTCCCGCGTCCGCGTCCTCCTCCTGTCCCAGGCACACACCAGATGGCACTTCGTCCTTCCACTGCTCCACTTCGTGTCCCTCTGCCGTCTCCTCCTACGTCCTCTCTTGCTAACGGTCCGGACCCGGCGTCTGACTCCCTTCATGCTGCCAGTCCTACTGTCACGCGTCTTTTGGCCACTGTTGTCACTAACCCGTCGTTTGAGTCCACAGCTGCGTCTGCCCTGGTTGCTGAGCATGTTGACTTTGCTGCCGCCTGTCGTCTAGACTACGCTGCTAGCCTTGTTGTTG